AATCAAGCAAAGAAACATTATATATTCATTTTGAGAGCAGAATCTCATAGTCTAGAGTGGTATGAAGAAGAAAATTTGAAAATAAACCTAGCATTTCTAATGCAGTGATCTTTTTTTTTTCCTGTGGGGCAATAGATCTTTTTTATTAGTACTTGTTTGTATATAATGATTATTTTCATTCTGGGTAGTTGGTATATGCACTAGACTAAGATGTCTGGGTTCTCTTTTGGGTTATATATATACCAGGTTGTAATCCTTGCCTATTTCCCTTTCTATTTAATTTAGTTTAGATATTAGAAGTAGTAATGTAATAGCTCAGTAGCTACATTATGGTTTATTTACAGTTATGACTTATGTGGTTTGTGGGCTAGGGGTCTTCTGACAAAATTATGTTTAAGGGAGTTGTGCAAATTAGTATTTTTGAAATCCTTGATGTAAACCAGATTATAGTATATGAGAAATTAACTATTTTTGATTTTTGCATTTTCTTTTATAAATCTTCCTGAATCTTAATGGATCCATCAGAAATAGTCAAAGAAAAACTAACTCAGATTATATCTTTGAATATAACACCTTTTTTTCCCGGTACTAGAATTTAAACCCTTATATGTGCTAGGCAAGCACTATACCACACAGCTATATCCCCAGTTAGAGGATATCTTTGAAGTTAATATCGTTGTCATAATCATTTAAACATAAACATCTGTGTTTAGCCACATGTAAGCTCATAGGATGTTTTAGGAGCCATATTTTAAATTTCTACCAATCCTTTGAGTACTAGATAAATAATTTGCTTTTCAGAGGACAGTGAACAAACACACACGTTATTTTGTAAATAATTTAGAGAAATTAGAATAGGGGTTAGTGTTGTACATGTCAACTTTATTAGAAATTTTAATTTGCATTTAAAAGAAGCAAATTCAAGTTTTTTCATATTTTCCTGATTTTCAAGGGAACAGAAATGTACAATATCTTTGGAATATAATTAACTGTTAGTTGTCAAATATTCAAATAGATCACCAAGACGTTCTTCCTTACCATTTTTCCTGCCTTTTCTTGCACTTACCAGCAAGAAAAAAAGTGAAGGGAATTTTTTTCTTTTTGTTGTGGTGCTGGGGATTTAACCCAGGGCTTAGCATATGGAAGGCAAATATTCTACTATTTCGTTATTGTCCCATCCCAAGAACTTTTACTGTCTTTTAACAGCGCATAATTTTGTTATAAATATTTCCTTTTTTATTTAGTAAAATAGAACTGTCTGTCCAATACATTTTTTTCCCACTTTCTATGCTGTCAGATTGCTTCCAGTTATCTTTGTGTTCAAATCTAGCTTATACCTATTATCAAGTAAATTATAGAACACAAATGACATAAAAGGTGAATATTGTCATAATTCCATTAAAGTGGAATGGTCCAAATTCTTGTCATAAAATATTGTGTAATGAAGTGTTATTTTGTTGAATGACTAAATTGATAATACTGTATGATTGTTTTGTTCTTAGAAATATGTTCATCTATTAGTTCTTGTTCTGCAGAATTTATATAGGACATATAATGACTCATAGTCTGAGATTCACTTAAACCATCATTTTCACCATTGTCATTTAAGTTCAGGGTACTAACTCTCTTTGTATGCATTTTCTGATTTGTCTAATAAATATGAAATATCTTCCTTTGTCAGTTGTCTCCTCTTTACCTACAGGGAGAAAATGAGAAATTTTGACATTTTTGTTTCTGTTAACAGTATGTAAAACCAGATTCCTGAGATGATGCCTACATTCTTATTTTACTCTTTCTTCAAAACTTATGTAATACTTTAGTTAACACAGTAAGAAAATAGAAAAGTGCATTATTGTATCATCCTTCAGGTATCTCATTCTTTCCAGTTCTTATTATTTTAGGCTTTTTCACTATGATTCAGAATAGCTACAGAATAGTGATTTCAAGAAATCACTAAGACCCTATAATAAATCCGAGATTTATAAAAGGGCCTAGTGCAGTTGTGGTGAACATATGGCACATGGGTCACAGCAGACTGTTTGTATCATTGAAAGCCCTAAAATGTTCGCCCTAGTAGATACGGATGGCAGTTGTTAGACAAAAAGATTGGTTTTCTAGAGTGAGTTTTCTCTGCTTATTGAAAGGCCATGAAGAAGGAATAAAAATTATGACACATCGATCTTTAAAATGTTTAGAACTACTCAAAAAGAAACTTGGAACTCAAAATTTGGTCCACTAAATCCTTCTGTGTTTAATATATTAAGTATTTGTGGCTCTTTGTTGATTTAAACATCTAACAGCTATTACCTACTTTGTTTAATATTCGCAGTTTTTTTTTATACTTACTGTATTTTTAAAATATATCTTTAAAAAATTTTAAATTTTTATTGGTACATGCTTGTAGTACATAATAGGTATTGTATTCATTGTAGGGAGTTGTTACTTTATGTAAATGAGTCTTATGTTGAACTTGTATTATGATCCAGATATTTATCTAAGATTGTTGTAAAGATATGTTTGATTTCAAAGGTTTTAAACATCTGTTTGTTTGTTTATTTTTCAGTGCTAGGACTTGCACCTAGGGCCTCGCATATACTACACAAACCCCCTAACTAAGATATATCCCCCAAGTGCTGCCCCTGCGTTTTTTGTTTGTTTGTTTGTTTGTTTGTTTTTCATTGGGGGGGCACTGCGGATCAAACTCAGGCCCTTTCACTTGCAAGGCAGCCTGCCATTTAATTTTAGAATTTCATTTGTGAATGACAGGGAATACATGAAATCCTGGATTCTCAGTCATTTATGTTATTTCAGGCAAATCTTACCTAATAGATAACCTGTGTAGTAATTTTCTTAAAGTTGTTTTAAAACTTTGGAAAGCCATGTATTTTGTCAATTTTGAAAGTTTTAAGTTTTTATTATGATTGCCAAGTAACTAACTTTATTAGATATGCACATTCATTCTTAACTAGTTTTAGAGAGACATTCTAAAAAAATAGATTGAAGACATAAAAAGGATTTGTTTTGTAGAATTGCAATGCAGGTTTGTGTGTGTGTGTTTTATTTGTAGTTCTGGGGATTTAACACAGCCATGTGCATGCTAGGCAAGAGCTGTACCACTGTGCTACATCTCTAGCTCTTGTACATTTTTAATAGTGATTAGATACAATTTGTAACTCATCTGTAGTGCTGTATATTTGGTAGTCTAGTTTTTGACTGGAGTCAGAATTTTCCCTAGTTCCAAAATTTTTCTAGTTCCAGTTATGCAGGATTACGGTTAAATGCTGACTTTCAAAAGAGTAGTTTAAGGTTATTGAGATGCAACCACAAAGAGAAATATAACATGTGAGACTAAAACTACTTACCTTTTAATTTTACAACAGTGCATTTATCCTAAATTCATTTAAAATAAAATACATGACCTTTAGTACATGTAAGCAAAGAAATACATATTACCTTGTTCCGTCTGTCCTTCCTTCCTTCCTCCCTCCCTCCTTCTATTTTTCCTTCCCTTTCTCCCTCCTTTCCTCCTCTTCTCTTTGCTTCCTTCTTTGCTTGCCTGCCTGCCTGCCTGCCTGCGTGCCTGCCTTCCTTCCTTCCTTCCTTCCTTCATCTATCCTAGGGATCAAATCCAGGTACTCATATATGCTCGGTGATCCTTCTGCCACTGAGCTACACTGTCAGTCTCCCTAGCTGATATTTGAATCTTGCTTAGAGTTACTTATTTTGAAGGAAATTAGATATTTTACTGAAAGCTCTTTAATCCAAAAGTAACCAATACATTATACAGAGGAAACAGGAGTGAATCAATCTATCTTTCTACCTTTGTTGGGATTATTATGTAATTCTGATACACTGAGTCAGCTCAGTTTAGATTTTTTAACACGCTGAGTTTAAAAATTATTTGTCAGGCCAGTGATGTAACTCAGTGGTGCAGTGCCTGCCTGGCAAATGTGAAGCCTTGAATTTGATTCCTGGTACCCAAATTGTCCGTTGAAATCTGTAAGGTTTGTATTTTTCATATTTGTTTATAGTTAAGTGATATGATTCACTGTGAATAGTAGTTATATGAGGAAACATTCTTTTATTTAGAAAGTCTAGATCTATTGTTTTAGAGTTCTTAATTTTTTGTTTGTTTGTTTGTTTATTATGGTACTGGAGATTGAACCCAAGGCCTTCACCCTATATCCTGAACGCTTTTTCATTTTAAGACAAGAAATTGTTGTGTTGCCCAGTCTGGTCTTTAAATTGTGATGCTCCTGCTTCAGCCTCCCAGAGTCCTAGAATTACACACATATGCTACCATGCCTGTCTTATTATTCTCTTTTAAAAAATGAGTTAGATGTTACAAGAATGTTTGATGTTTGGGGAAATGTTGATATTTATTATTCTGTTAGAAAAGCAAGTTATAGGGCAAGTTGTAATGGATATTTCAAACCTGTATTTAGATATGTATGTGTAGGTAAAAGACAGGAAACTAACAGGCTATAATGTTAACAGGATTAACCAAAGAATAGGTGATTTGCATGTTTTCTTTCTACCCCCTAAAATTGGGTCTTAAATCCACAGCCTCATACATGCTAGGCAAGCATATTGTGTGCTTTTTGTTACTTAACTTAATTCTTAGAATTTTCTAAAATCCTGTTGTATTAAAAGTAAAAAAAATATTTAAATAACTGAAAATAGTTCTCTACTCTGAATATTGGGATGATAATTTGATATTACAGTATTATTACAGTTCATAAAGAATGCCTTCCTGTAAAGCTGTTGTGTATATTGATGTTTCTGTGGGAAATTATTGGTTAGAAGAAAACCAACTGATGCCTAGAAAGTGTATTATATTGCTCCAGAAGGTGAATTATATAAAATGTTTAGTTGCCATTAAAGTCCATGACATTTGATGTTAAAACATATGATTAAAATTTGTTTTGGAGTTGTAGTTATTATTTTATATATTGTCATATATATTTGTCTCACTTAAAATAATACTCTTTTATTTTTAGGCATTATCCAATTGGTTTGCTCTTTGATCTTCTTGCATCAAGTTCAGCTCTTCCTTGGAGCATCATAGTACATTTTAAGGTATAGTTTACCACTTTCTGTTATCCCACATGTGATACATAATAGAGTAGAAATTTTTAAAAAGTGAAATTATTTATTGCCATTCTCATGACACTCTCAGTTGCTAAGCTTCCATTAGTGTTTGTTTATAAAATATTTTTTGATTTCTTCCTAACTTTGGGCTGAACCATTTAAACTTTTAGTTTGGATGGTGTGAAGATAAAACTACTTCAGGTGCATAAGGGTTAGGTTTTTATTTTTAGAGCTGAATATACTGTTTTGAAAACTGATAATTGTTTTGAAAATATATGTGAATTTAAAAAATTCAAATAGAACAGAATTCCTGGATATGGATGTGGACATGGAGTAGAAGGAGAGACATATTATTGAGTAATTCTAAAGCTATATTGATTGAAGGAAGAGAAAGTTAAGATGGAAGCCCAAAGATTTGATATATCTTTGTTCTGAGAAATGTTTATTTCTGTACTTTCTAATACCTGGCTAAATATAATGTGGTCTAATTTTAACTCAGTATGTAATAAAATGCTGAAACCTTTTTTCTCCATCCCCCTGCTTCTGCTCCTCCATACATATCCCCCTACCTCCATGCCTTTCACAAACACCTTGGAAGAATTAGAAAATTTCTCTTAGTTGATCACTTACAGTGATTTTCAAGTGGTAACAGGCAGTGGGAGGGAGGCATGCAGAATTTGAAAAAGTCATTTAGATATGTTTGCTTTCCTGTATGTGTACCCATACAAAGCTACTGCTTAAAAGTACCTCATCGTTTTTCATATTGCCTTTCCTTCCACCTTTACTGTAATTGAGACTGTGGGTCATTGGAACTTATTATTTCCCTGTATATGTTCACTAATCTGCTTTGCACAGTACTATGTTATTATAGATTATAGTTACCATGGAGCCTTTCAGATAAAGCACTTGACTCTGAATTTCACTTATGTCAGTGTACGCAGAACAAGGGCTGCGTTTATATACAATTTTAGTTCAGATGGTGTGAAGATAAAACTACTTCTGATACATTAAAGGTAGAGGTTCTATATCGCCTGACCTGTCTTTCCTGTTAGTGATGTAAAACAAGAATATACTGCAATGTTTAGGTGGTTGATTTTTGAGTATGTGAGAAATGTACTCTAAAAATCTGTGATACCAATGTTCAGGTTAGTCACAGCGGTCTGTTCATTAAGTCAGAAAATATGGAGGCTCTGGAGTATGTGTTCTTTTTAAGAGTTTTTGTGAGTGACCAACACAAGACATTAACACACTCATATTCTTAAGGTTGCATAGCTGACACTAAGTCTTTAGTAATTACTGATTGAATGAGTCAGTGGATTGTAACAACAACAGAGAAGGCTAAGGATTACTTCTGTTAGAACAGTGCAGTGAGCCTCAAAGGACTTGGGCAAGGGATCTGAATCTGTTTCCATAATGGTATTGAGATGATACTTATTCCACTTTGTTAATATTTGCACTGTTGTTTAGAAGCAGTGGTGGTTAAAACTGCTATAGACTTTAGCACAAAGCAAAACTGGACACCAGAGTCCTGGTGGTCATTGTATTCTTCATATCCATGTACTTGAAGTATAAAGAGTACTGCTTTCTTTAAGACTATTCTGTGTGAAGCAGTACAATTATTTTTTCATTTTGGTGGAGATGGAACCCAGGGCCTTGCACATGCTGTACAAGTGCTCTAACACAGAGATAATTCCACAACTATTATTAATTATTATTGATCTTTCTTTTCTTTGTGGTAGTGCAGATTAAACCTAGAGATGCTCTACTACTGAAGTACATCCCCAGCTCTGTTTAAATTTTATTTTCAGACAGGGTTTTGCTAAATTGCCCAAACTAGCCACAGACTTGTTCCCTTGCTCAGCATCCTGAGTGGATAGGATTACAGGCATGTTCCCCCATACCAGGTTTAATTACTATAATGTTGACCCTACAGTCCACATCTTTGTAGTATCTTATGTGATAAAATATGAAGTACACATAATAAACTTATATTGCATGCCAGATATGGCTGTCTTGAGGAAGACATTCATTGTTTGATTTTCCAGCTGAACACCATTATTTTACTGAAATAGTGGCTGAGAGACAGACTTCGGTAGTTCAGACTTTTTTAAAAAAGACGTTCAATGTCATGATGATATATTTAGCAGTGAACAGCATGAGTGCAAAAAGTCTGCATTAAAGCCCTTTGTTGGAATGCTTTATGCTTTTCACAGAACAGAAACTAAAACAACTTGCTGTACAATTAATCACAAATATAGTCCTCTAGGTTTTTTGCCCATACACATGAGTATTGTCTAAAACATGTCTTCTTTGTAGCAGATAGTCCCTGCCACCATTGTATATGGCTAACTTCACAAATCTGTGGTATCCTGTAGCTTCCCTGTTATTTCTCTGGCTGTGCTCTCCTGCTAAACCTTGTTTCCTGGGATTAATCAAAACCTTCCATTTCCATAACTACTGCTGCCATAGCCACCTTGATTCTGTGGTTTGTAAATTAATATCCTTCACCACCGCAGGGGCCAGAGCTTCTGCCTTCAAAGTTTCATTCCTTCATGGGCCCAAAATTTGAAGATTGTTGTAACTGCCAAACTCACGTTTAGCTTCTTTCATCTCCAATATTGCCTTGATTGTTACCAAGTGTGTTGTGGCCATCTCCCTTGCCACAATATCCACCACCACCACAAGTTCCACCAAAGCCATCTTGACCATTGAAATTTTCTCTTTGACCAAAATCGTCATGGCCACCAAAACCACCCCCATGACTGCCAACAAAGTTTCTAGAACTTCTTTGTTATGTAAAGCACTAACCATCTCTTGTTTCAACAGAATGGGCTTTCCTGCTTTACTGTTGTGGCCATTTACAGTATGTATTTCTGAATGATATTTATGTCCATATAGTCATAAAATTTTGTATAAACATAGCTCTACTTTCACTGCCTATCAGTCACAATTTCAGTCACTAAAGTTTTCCAATACAGTTCTTGTAGGTGATACTCTTTAATGCCTTCTTTAATGCCACCAACAAAGATCTTTTTCACAGTTAAGTGGACACCTGGACTTAGAGAATCTTTCCTTAATCAGCTGTCTTTGGTTTTTCAACTCTTCCCATCCACTTTGTGTTGCCTTGCACTACCTCCACAGAGATATATGTGACAAGCCCTAAGCCCTTGGAGTATTTGATGTTTGGATCTCTCCATGAGCATTCCCTGCTTTTCAGCATAGTTTCTCAAATGCATCAGTTGTTTAAAGCTCAGCCTTCCAATAAAAAGCTTCAGCAGCCTGGCAGTCTCTTTAGGAGACTCTGATTTAGACACAGTGGCAATGGGAAGAGGGACTAATGATGCTTCCTTGGCAACATCTAGGAGCATTGAGGAATAAGCTAACAAATGTATGCCAGACGTTTTATTGACAGTGGAGTCTCACTACACAAAAAGCAACTGATAATATTTGTTGTCAGAGATAAAATTTGAGCATTTAAGTGAAAATTAAAAATTTGAAAAACAAATATCTGCCACTATTAGTATGACAGCTTTATTATTCTAAAAGTATTTTCTGATGATATTGATTATATTTTAATACTTAGTTTTTAAACATTTTCATAAAGTGAAATAGATTAACATATGAAGAACTACATAATTTAGTGAACATTTTCCATATGACCAATGCATGATCTTCCAGAATCATGCCTTGTCTAAAAGACTCATTCAAAGTGCGCTGTTAGACTAAAGAATTTTAATGTAACAGTATGAAATGTTCTCTGGTATGGTTTTAGATTTCATGTTGGTATCCAGACAGTATTTGTTCAATCAGGTATAGCATTGAAGAATATCCACAAATTTGAAAAGACAATTAAAATACTGCTTTTTTGAAATCTTTATTCTTTTGGGTGTTTTGAGACAGGATCTTGTGCAGGTCAGGCTGGCCTCAAAACAGCGATCCTCTTGTCACAGCCTCCTGAGTGCTTAAGGTTACAGGCATGAGTCACTATGCCTGGCTGCTTTTTCCAATTACATATTATTATGGTACTAAATTTTCTTTACTTTAGCCAAAAAAAAAAAAAAATACTATAGAGCATTGTATATGGAAGCAAATGAGATACTGTCTTTACGACGATATAAAAGATAACAAAAATGTAAAATAATGCTAGTCCCTCCCAATAACTCACACTGAGCTACATCCTTAGCCCTTTTTAAATTCGTTTTTATTTTGAGACACTAAGTTGTTGAATTGCCCAACGTTGGCTCAATTTTGTGATCCTCCTGCTTTAGCCTCCTTTGAGTGCTGGGATTATAAGTGTGTACTACAACACCCAGCTCATCACCCTGTTTTTTTGTTGTCATTTCTTTTGTTCTGGAAAAGTAATTTTTTTCATGAAGATGAGATTTTTTTTTTTTTAACATTTAATGGATTTCTTTCTTTCTTTATTTTGACAAGACCTTGCTTTGTACTCCACGCTGGCCTTAAAACGTGCTATATGGCCTAGGTTGGCCTCATATTCACTGTGTAGCCTAGGTTGGCTTTAATGTGTTTATTTTTGTTATCATAAATGAATCAATACTATTGAAATGTCTTGGTTCTAATTTCTAATTAAAAACAAACTCTTTGGGTGCCTTATTAGGTACCCAAAATTTATTAGAGAAGTCAAACCAAAGAATCTTATAGGTTGTAAGGAGACATTTTAAGTTTGCACAAGCCACCAGTGTCTTTTGGCTGCTCTTCAGTTACTCTTTCTGATCCTGGTTGTGTTGGGGGGAAATTATTGCCCAGATTTGCTTCCCTGCATACTATACTAAGTTCTGTTTAGTGTTGTGTCATGATCTGGCTTAACCCAAAAGCTTTCTTTATGTGTGTAGTTGATTGTGTGCACTGATTTTGTTGGCCTGCCTCATTGTACTGACTTACAGATTTTGATTAATTATAATCCAACTGAGTATGCACTGCAGGTAGAAAACCAATGCTTTTAGTGAAGAAGAAAAAAATAGTTTGAT